TTTCTCTACTTTGTTTAGAGTTTCTAGCCAGTTAAAATTGGTAGTTTTACTCAGTCTAGTGTAAAAAGTAACACCTAATATTTTGAAACCGATGTTATTGATCCACTCTATGTAGTCCGATTCTAGGTACATTTTAGGATCAAAACCCCCAAGAGCAAGACCTTTGGTTTTTGAGGCATTAAACACTGAACCACTTGCTTTTTCAAACAGTTTTACTTTTTCAAAAGAATAGCAAAAAGACCTTACGTGCCTTGCAAAAAAGTTCAAATCGTCTGCGCACCGCTGTAGTTTAAGGGGTTTCGATGTTCCTGGTAGTGGGAAACCCTCTATCCTGCTGTCCACTCTGATCACCAAAGCAAGAAATTTGGCGACAAAGACAGCAGAAGAGAAAGAGGGTCGCTTGGTTTGACTCCTCTTTCGATTGGAAAAAAGACCGGCAAGAAACCACAAATTAGAATAAATGACGAAACTTCTGTATATAGAGTGTTAATAAATAATACTAAATTTTTTCTGAGATTGAATTTTTTGGGAATTTGCAACAGAAATAAAACTAGGTAGATTTTTAAATTTTGCGTAATCTATTAAATCACGTACTAGGTGTAAATTTAAAAAAAAATGGTTCTACCTAAATTTCCGCAAGTTTGATTTGGTTTCATAATTTTCCCTATAACTTTTAAAAGTTTTTGGGCCAGCGCTTTTGTGATTTTTTTGTAATCAGCGCTGAAATGAGATATTAGCCTCCAATTTTTGCATTCAGTAAGGTCTCCTTGTTTGGGAATAAGTGAAATTACTGATTTTTTCATAGAATAGCTGGTTAGTTTCTCTACAAAAAATGTTACAAACTTTGAAGTTTTTTTCTAAAATATGCCAAAAAGTTTTGTAAAATTTAGCTGGAAGTCCGTCATAACCTGTAGATTTTTCGTTTTTGAATCTAAAAAAACTTCTTTTCGTTCCACGCTTGTTAGGCGGGTATTTAAAAATTGGTTTTCATTATCTCTTAAATATTTAATGATGTGTGACAAGACATAGTTTTGGCTGTCTTTGCATTTTTAGTTTTAGTGTAAATGTTTTTATTATATAAGGCCAGGGAGTTGAGTACTTTACCAGGTTCACTCGTATATTCGCCGTCATTCTTTCAAAATTCGGTAATTGACTTTTTCCGCTTTTGAGTTTTTTTCAAATTATACAAAATTTTTGAAGGTTTTTCTCCTTCTTTGATTAGTTTTTTTTTTCGTGTGAATAAAAGCTCCTAGAAACTGGAGCAAGAAAAGAGCATCAGGTTTTTCTTTGATGCTATATAAATTCGGGTTAACGCTTTGTCGCTCCCGTTGGATTTCTTTTTTTAATCCTTTTGATTTATTTTTTGTTTTTCGCACTTTCCTGTATCACATGTGTAATTCAGCCCTAACAAAAAATTTGCAGTAGTTTCATTATTATAAAATTGCAATATGATTGCACTAAAAACTTTACAGTTAGTTGTGAAATTCAAATGTTTAATAACTGTGGTTTTTGTTTATATGTAGCGAAAGTAGGTGCATAACCGTTATGTTAACCCGTAATGTTTGGATTTATGTTATATGAAAATAAGAACAAAATGTATATTTTTAACAGTTTATTTTAATAACCACATTATTAGACTTTAAATTAATGCAATTAATAGAAAAATTAAACGGTTTATAAAAAATGTTATTAGACAAAAATTACACTTAGTAAAAAAATGGTTTTGCCTCTATTGTGAGGCACAACCGCAGTCTCACAAAAGTTGTTGGGGGTACACTATTCCTGGTACAATTTCTTTACAATTGTCACAGCTCAGATTATTTGTTGATTTTGTTGCACGTTTGCATACTGTGCAGGTATTCTTTGTATTTACAGTCTGAGTTTTCTTATTCGATATACTCTTAGCTTTATATTTTAATCAAAAACTCATTTATAAAAAATAAATTAAACAAATACGTAATCTAATATCCAACGTCTTAAAACAAAACTATTTCTATTCTATTAGTTTTTACATGGATGCTTTTTAGTGTGACAATTGTAATTATTGTTATTCGTAATTATTTAACTTTTATAAATATCAAAAGTACGCAGTTGTGTTTCCTGTGCGTCTTTGCGGTTCTGCCCCAGAGACCAGGTTTTAGAAAGAATACAGTTTCACAGCTTGCTTATTAGGTTATGTTGATATTAAAAATGATTTTCACTTAATGAAATAATGCTGATAACACATATCTTTAACACTAAAATCAATTATTGCGTAATATTAAAAAGAAAGGTCAGAAAAATATGTAAATATAATATTTTTTTCAAAATAAACATTATTATGCACAACTCACAGTTAGCACGGATCCTTAGAATGCCTACCTAGCTGTCCCAAGAACGCCACTTAAACGGAAAGTTAGTGTACACATAAAGGTACCCTGTGATGCAAATTTTGAAATCATTTAACTTTGTCCGCGGAAAATAACTTAATTTGAATGTTCAATTAAAGTCAAACTTTGACTTCATAGTGCGCCAATAAAAACACTTGTAGAATTTGAACCACTCAATATAATTTAATAAAAATTGGTGCAAATGTTTCTATAGTCACACCAAACTCTGGACAAAATTTCAGCTTGATTGGATGACTTCTGTAGGATTTATTACAGTTTTAGTTGAAGTTTTGTCAGTTTTTTGCTAATTATACCTCAAAGCGTTACCAACTACTTTGAAATTCGGTCACTATTTTTAAAATAACGATTACATGAGTGTTCTACTTTTTAATACCAACAATTTTTGTTATATTTATTTTATCGGTACATTACAATTTTCATTTTATAGACCAAAATAGTGATTTTTTACTTAAAGCGTGATTTAAATAGTCTTATGCTAATACTGTCAACACGGCCTTCAAAGTCAACCCCTCAATTTCTAAAATAAAATTGATAATTTCTAAAATAATTACCTATATTTCTAAAACAAAAGGTCCTTGCAAAAAAAAAGTGAGCTGGCCATGGCTCCCTTGACGGCCATGTATGCATAGCGTGAATATACCAACATTTCATAAGGTATAAACTACTGCCAGAATGCAAAAAAAATTCTATAAAAATGGTTAAGAAGGATTTCTAGGGATACCTACACAGAAAATAAAAATATTTATTTATCTGAAAACAGAACAACTATGAAAAAACCAAACAGTTTTTATATTGACGAGATAATTGACCTTAAAAATTTAGATAAGTTAACTAAGATATCTGACCAATACAAAGTTTGGAGGGCCAGCCGAAGGAAAATTAGTGTAACTGAATAAATAATTAGGTTGAAGGGTTGTTTTGAAATAAAATAACCCGTGGGACAAGTATCATTTAAACAATTGTTTCCGGGTAAGGAAAGAACTATTCAAGATTTATTTCCTTGTAATTTAATATTACCTTATTTAAATCAAGTAAATATTTCCTTTATTTTAATAGTTTTTAATTAATAATATGTGTTACTATGTTAAGTGGATTGTTATCAAATATAAATTAAGGTCAAATTTTGTAAAAGGCAAAGTTTGATTTAGTGAAGTCAAATTTAGTGAATTGCCACGATGCCAAATCAAGCAAAAAATCATGATGAAAATCAAAAGTTTGTGTGCTTGCTCTGTCTAAAAAAATGTTTAAGACAGCTTACTACTTTTCAAGCAGATCGAATATGCCAACTGTACAAGACCGCTTTGTCCGCTTGATAGCAACTCATAGTGAACGATACCTGCTGTAGACCACCATACACACAGTAAAACCTTTTGTTGGTGAATACATGGTTTAGTAGTCATCGGTCTGGATTGCTACTGGCGAACCAATGATATGTTCATTTTTTGTTGCAGTACATAATCCATTTTTTGTCGCACGTCAACATCCAGTCAAAAAATGGCACTAAATTGCGGCGGGAAAGCAATAAAGAACAAATGGTTAAGCGCTGTAGCTTGTTTGTTTCACTCAACTCATAAGGTACCCAACTGCTCAACTTCCAACGTTTTCCAAGTTGGTGCAAATGTGGACGAATAGTTTCATCACTCACATTAAATCTTAAGGCAAAGTCCTAACATGTTTGGCTGGAGTCCTGCTCGGTTGCCAGCTTGATATCCTTGTTGTTGACAGTGGATTGTCTTCCAGAACTTGGTTCATCTTCAAGGTTTTCATTTTCAGAAGAAAATTTTTTGAACCACTTTTGACCCGTCCGTTCTGCTATGGTACCTTCCTTAAAAGCAGCGCATATCTTACGACAAGCTTCTGCAACTTTGGTGCCAAGTTTAAACTCATAAAGTAAACAGGCGCGAATTGCCGCATTTAACACAGCCATACTCAAGAATTTTAAATTTAAATCGCACTAAGAAAACTTATGAAACACACTGATTGATTCTCCTTCAAACAAGTTTCAATTTATAAACAAAATTATATCCCTACCACAACCATTATTTTATAATACTTATGTTAGTAAATAATTTACTAACATAAGTATTATATGATAATGGTTGTGGTAGGGAGATAATTTTGTTTATAAATTGAAACTTGTTTGAAGGAGAATCAATCAGTGTGTTTCTTAAGTTTTCTTAGTGCGATTTAAATTTAAAATTTTTGAGTATGGCTGTGTTAAATGCGGTAACCAAGGTAACCAATGAAGCTCGTGCGCTTTTTCCTAATTCCTATTTACTCTAGGAAAAAGTGCACGAACTTTATTGGTTACCTAATATATTGGCTTTACATTTTTATAAGTTTTACTTGTGTTTTCAAACAATTTTTATATATTTACATTATTAGATAAAACGTATTTTAATTTCCATCAAAGAAAGCTGATCCTTTTTCCAGCGTATTGTTAGGTTTAGGAAATATACTCTTTTCCTTTCAAAAAAAAATATGGTCAGCTTTTAGCTTAAATAAAGTAATCTTTTTATGAGTTAACGTTAAATGTATTTTTATAAACAGAAAAAAGATAATGTTTCATTTGACTTGAAAAAATTAATTTAAATTTTTTTCAAACTTTAGAATATAACATGGAAACTAATAAATGATAATAATGATGGGCTGAGTAGAAATCAGGTTGAAAATGTTATACAAAAAGCTGTTTCAAGATGGGAAGCTGTAACTAACCTGAATTTTCGTAAAATTGAAATTAATAGTAAAGAAGTAGCAGATATTGAGGTGTCATTTGGTATACGTTACCATAGAGATGCATATCCTTTTGATGGACCAGGAGGCGTATTAGCTCATGGATTTTATCCAAGTACAAATGAAGGTAATTTATTTTTATGCATTTATTATTATTATTCTTATAAAGTAAAATGACCGGATTAGTATATTTAAGAGTAAGTTTAACAATGACAATGAAGATTTCCTAGTAGACACAAGACATGTTGGGACATTTAAAAGATGTCTTGTGCCCTCTTGGGAGAATATTATGATTATGATTAAACTTGTGAGAGTGTTATGATGATATATATATATATATATATATATATATATATATATATATATATATATATATATATATATATATATATATATATATATATATATATATATATATATATATATATATATATAGTATATATATATATATATATATATATATATATATATATATATATATATATATATATATATATATATATATATATATATATATATAAATTATTTAGAATTATTATAACAAAATTTGTTACAAAATTTGTTAAAATATAACAAAAATTGTTGGTATTAAAAAGTAGAACACTCATGTAATCGTTATTTTAAAAATAGTGACCGAATTTCAAAGTAGTTGGTAACGCTTTGAGGTATAATTAGCAAAAAACTGACAAAACTTCAACTAAAACTGTAATAAATCCTACAGAAGTCATCCAATCAAGCTGAAATTTTGTCCAGAGTTTGGTGTGACTATAGAAACATTTGCAAGGATGAAGTGCAAGAAAAAAAAAATAAGTGAAAAATAAAAGTTTTTAGAGTATGCAAAGGTAGTTCCAGTAAGATAATAAGATTTTGCAGAATGAAGATTCAAGCAAGAATGAGTTTTGGCTGATGAAAGCAGAGATGATAATGAGACACTACCTTTTGACCATGGGAGAGAGGCTCAAGCTTCAACATAGAGCTGGTCCAACTATGTTTACAATGCATTTTTGAATCTTTTCTAGAAAAGAAAGTGCATCTTTAGAAGAACCAGCTCAAATATGACAACAGTATTGATGAAGAAATTAGTAGAGGTAGAGAGTGGAATCAGATGTAAGAAAATAGTTAGCACAATAAAGGAAGGAAGCCTTAGCAGATGCTAACTTAGGGTTTTTATTCATCAATATAGGAATGTCAGCAGTGTTGCCGCAAACAGTTGTTTGCAGTAAATAAGTTTTATTGTTTTGTTGGAGTTAAAATTCACAAGCTACTGCAAGCCCCATTCTGTTACAAAAGTGAGCTCAGAATCAAGATTGGCTGCCTGTTCTAAGCAATTAAAAAGAAAGAGAGATTGTCAAGACAGGACTATAAAATTGAGTCATCAGCGAATAGAACCACTTTAGATATAAGGTAGTCAGGAAGATCGTTAATGTAGATAAGAAACAATATAGAACCAAGGAAAGAACTTTGGGTTCAAAAGTTACTGGAAACGAAGAAGAATGTTGGCCTTCATAGATGACTTAAATAAAGTGGTTAGAAAGAAATGATTTGAAAATCTCAAAAACTTTCCCAGATACACCATATGAAGCAAACTTATGTAGATAACCAGCCAATGTGATATAGATGACCATGCCAAACATTATTGAAAGCTTTAGATATGTCAGGAGCAATCAACCTTGCCTTGCCGCTTCTATCTAATGCACGATAAAGTCTTTCAGTCACAGCAATTAGCAAGTCAGCCATTATATAAGTAATATTAGAAATTTGTATCAAGGTACCCCACCCATAAGGTACCTTGATAAACCTATGAGCACAATTAAAAGAGTAAACAAAAAGTATAAAATTTAGAGATTATTTTAGGTTATTATTATTAATTATAACCTAAATAATGCATCTGATGGTCAAAATCACATTTCAGAAATGTCATTCTTAATTGTCAATAAATAGTTTATTGATCTAATCAGTTGAATAGTAACAAAAAATCCCCCTCCAAAATTTTTATTTTGTTTCCTAAATTACTTCTATTCTGCTCTGTACTGCCACTTGACAAAAAATGATACAAAAAAACAAAAACCTTATACTAGAACACATTTTTTTTTCCCTACACCTGTGGTGTTACTAATAACCAAAACATTTATTATTGATTCAAAAAAATTTTAAATTTAAAAATTTTTGAATCAATAAATATTTTGGTTATAAGTAGAGAGTAGAGTGTTATCATTGAAGGCTTTTAATAAATCTATAGGCTTTAACTTGATAGTTTTTTACTATTTAAAACTATTTAAAGCGTTCATACTGATGATAAAAATGTTATTTTTAAAGAGTTGTTATTGTAAAACAACTATACTGCAGTGTTATTTTAGATTAACACAAACTGCGTTAATCTAAAACTATTTTATACAGTTTATAACGTTAACAACATAAAATCCGTTTAAAATAAAACAAAGTAATTAAATAGATTTGTTCTAATTAATAAATTAAAACATTGTCACGAAACTTCATATTTGTGCAAAAACATGCTTTATCTATAAACCAAACCAGTAAGATCAACGCAAAAAAATATTAGATAGCATGTTTTTTCTATTACTTCTTGATCTAGCATACTATAAAATATTTTAGTTTAATTAATTTTATCATTCAAGTTGATTCATTTTTTTCGTTCAAATATAATTTGTAGGTGAGAGAAAAAATCTTGGTTTAATAAATCGAATTTTTCTTTAACAGGCTTTCAAACAGTAAAACAATTAAATCGAATTATATTTCTTTAACAGGCTTTCAAACAGTAAAACAATTAAATCGAATTATATTTCTTTAACAGGCTTTCAAACAGTAAAACAATTAAATCGAATTATATTTCTTTAACAGGCTTTCAAACAGTAAAACAATTATATGGAATTATATTTCTTTAACAGGCTTTCAAACAGTAAAACAATTAAATCGAATTATATTTCTTTAACAGGCTTTCACACAGTAAAACAATTATATCGAATTATATTTCTTTAACAGGCTTTCAAACAGTAAAACAATTAAATCGAATTATATTTCTTTAACAGGCTTTCAAACAGTAAAACAATTAAATCGAATTATATTTCTTTAACAGGCTTTCAAACAGTAAAACAATTATATCGAATTATATTTCTTTAACAGGCTTTCAAACAGTAAAACAATTAAATCAAATTATATTTCTTTAACAGGCTTTCAAACAGTAAAACAATTATATCGAATTATATTTCTTTAACAGGCTTTCAAACAGTAAAACAATTAAATCGAATTATATTTCTTTAACAGGCTTTCAAACAGTAAAACAATTAAATTTATAGAATGTAAAAGTAGACAAAATTTATTTAGCAAATACACATCACACTTGGTCAATTTTTTATATTAAAGAAAAACAGAATGTGTTTTTTAAGATCATTGATTTTTATATCTTTTATATTTTTATGTAAAGTTCCTTAAATATAACCTAATTGTTTTTTTTTTTTCTCCTAAAGAGTCTACAAACCAAATTTAATACTTAATCAGAATTCTTTTTAAAAGTTTTTTTAATAACTTATTGAAAAAGTGATCTTTGAAATTATAGTTTTATGTTTCTTTCTTTTATTTTTTTTTTTTTTTGTTGTTGTTGTGACAAGTAAGATTATAAATAACTAAAAATATAAAAAGTAAAAAAAAAAAAAAGAAAACTTTATAGGTCGTTTTACCGTATTATGCCCCAAAGTTGAGTCAACTTTGGGGCACAATATATCAAAACACCCTGTTTAGGCTATTTTTAAAAATAATTTTTAAGCATGTTCTTTTCATATTTTAGCATTTTATGTACATTTATTAATGCATCAAAAAAGGATTTTAAATGTTTTTTTTTTTTGTTTTTTTGCCTTTGCTATTTCTCATTTTGTTTAATAAAATGTCATTTTGGGAAACCAGGTCAATATTAAAATTGAAGTATCTCATATCTAACAATTTAGGCCAAAAAATTTTTTGTGAATTTTTCTTTGCGACATACAACAGCCAAGAAGTTCAAAAAAAGTATTTTATGCTTAAAAACTCACAATTAAAAAAAAAATAACTTATACTAAAATTAATTACTAATGTTATTAATTCAAAATAACTCATGTGCTTTTCAATAAATAAAAAATGGAGTTTTGATGACATCCAAGTAACTTTAGATGATTTTTTTCCAAATTTAAGTTTCGTTTTGGTTAACTTGTTCAAATTTTTTTATTTAGTTTTAAAAAAAATAGTTAAATTTGGGAAACGTTTTTTAAGGAGTTTAAAAGATTTTCATTAATTATTATGACCTAATACATTATTTAAATTATTATATATTTCAATTTCAATTACTAAGTTTGAGTGATATTTGTTTTTAATTTTTAAAATAACAACAAAGTTTAAGCTGAGGTTATAGCATGCAATGATATAAAGTTTAACCAGAGAAAATATCAAGGTAGAAAGTAAACGCGTGTAATGACATTCTGAAAATCAAAAACTTACGCTGTATATTATTTTTGAAAATTAATGACTTTTGGTAAATTATGGAATTCTATTTTCTCCAAGCGAATTAACTGCTTTTTAGTAGATAAATTCAGAAGATGAACTGAAGTTGCTTTGAAAAGATAATGACAAGAGCTTAACTTAAATAAAATTTCTATGAATATAAAGATATGTTATATAAAAAGATATTCCATGTTTACACTTGTCCTTCCTCCCCTTTTTACAGTTGTACCCTCAGGACCAAAACCAACTTATTTAGTTTTATAATTTTAAAAATCTAGTGATTGAAGGGACTAATTTTATTACAAAATTTTTGAGATGTTTCATATTCAAGATCGAAAGCAAAAAGAAATGTTTAACACATACTTTAATCTTTTCTATTGGAGTTGAATTGAAGTTGATAAAATATAGCTTATTTTTCAACAACAGAAACATTGGTTGATCCATCACATAATATTATGAACTTGCTTCATGTTTTTAATTTATTAGCAATTTTTTTAGCAGTTTTTTATTGAAAACAAAGTTTTATTTTTAAAAATTATAATAATAATAAAATTATTTTAATCAAATTTTTATGATAAAATTTAAATGACTAAAATGAGGTTTATTTAGGTTGAGGTTTACATAATTAAACAATTTTGC